CAATTCAAAGGCCGTTTTCATGGTATGTATGATTATTTAAAGATTAAAGGTCACCGAGGGATCCATCAATGAAATTCATTCATGAATTTCTTGGTAACCTTTAACCTTTAGGTAACCATATATTGTGAAAACAGGTTTAAAAGTTTTAGAGAGAAATTATAACATTGACGTAATGATTAATCCGTGTTCTGGAGTCTAGTCAATGTCCAGAATTGCAAATCAGCACTGCATTAAGCAGCGTCTACAATAAGATTTTAAAATGTAAAATCTAAGCTTTTAAGCCTTAACCGTAAGAAATTGATCAATCACGATCGAACGTAAGGAGAATAATCGGCAGACTAATCAATTTCTTACGGTTTGAGATTTAAAGTTTAACTTTCACGCCTTAAAATCTCTGATGCTTTCCAACAACACAGTGATCATTTCATCTTTACTTAACATTGGCAAACTACAAGAATGTATGTCAGTTTCTACCAACGTAGATTAACTTCAATCTTGGTCTAACCTACTTTTTATCTTTTTCTGATTCTTAGAAAGAATAAGTATTATAAAACTAAGATTAAAGTTATAAAACCAAGATTAAATCTGCATTGGTAGAAATGGATAGTAGTGATTCATGGTATTACACCGTGTCATCTGTGTTTCTTGCTGGAAAGCATCAGAGATTTTAAGACGAAAAACTTAAAAGTCCTAAAACGCAAGAAATTGATCAATTATAGTCGATTAGTCTCCTTACATTCGATTGCGACTGATCAATTTCTAACAGTTTAAGGCTTAAAAGCTTAAGTTTTACGCTTTAAAATCTTATTTTAGACACCGTTTCACGGCGATCGGCGCTTTGAACTTTGACACACATTCCACACACCACGCACGTGTCCCGTCATTTTATTTACTGAAATAATAAAAAATACAGTCCCACTTTTATTTTTTTGTTTCAACTATCGTTTGGCTGGCAGTGCAATTTAAACGTTTTGACGTTTCTGTACTCTCCTAAAGCGCATTTTGCAGTCGCGTGTTTTCTGTTTGATGTACCTATATCGAATAACGTTAAGATGCGGAGACGTAAAAGGTTACCTCTAAGGGCTTAGACGAAAAATAAATCGCGCAATTTACGACCGGATTTACCTTTCGAGACTGATCGTGATAGCAATTGAGGCGAAGTAATCGGAACGATATCAATTCTCTTCCAACGCGATAAGTTAATCGATTAGGAAACGAGGACGGGTGGGGGTGGGGGTGTAAATTGGAAGCGATCTTGAGAGAGTAATTTGCTTTCTCACACTTTTCTCCATTCCTCGCGAGTTCAATGACGCAACTTACAATGTTTTATCACTATTGTCACTGGCGTTCTCGTCTCTTAGGCTTCGTGTGAATATTGCGCCACGTGTTTCGTGCTGAACGCAATTTTGGAGAGAGGACAGTGAAAATGACGAATCGTGAATCTTTCACGTTTCTACCTCTTGACGACACACCGACTATCTCCGATCGAGACGCGAGAAGTTGGACCAGTGAGCTCTATAATATATAGCTCTCTTTTCTGAAGCGAGCCTTCCTTATATTAAACTATAGAAAACTACAGCTCGACGGAGAATAGGAACACAAGCAAATACTGATCCTTCTATATTTTTTTTTTTTTACTTATGATAGTAAAACATCAGCCAATCAGCGACGGAAAAAGCAATACCATCTTTGCATCAGAATCCTTGTTTAGAAATTGACCCCCCAACTGCTCCATGACTCGCTCCAGTATGTTATAGATCTCACTGAGTTGGACTGGGAGATCTGGGAAGATCCGGGGAATCCAGAATCGCAGGAATTCCCGGATTCTTGGATCGCCTCCTCGTCGATCGATGTATGGATGCATCTCAAGGAAAATCCTGGTGGATCTTCGAGACCGTTGCGAGATCAAACGCTTAACACCGACAAATTGATCGTGCTCGTAGACCTTAGACCCGTAAATTTTCCTCGAAGTATTTGGAAATTGATTAACCTTACATTACTCGCGTGGTATTTTTTAAAATGTAGTTACTCGTGTGAGATGTTTCTGGTATTCCATAAAAGTTGAAACATCTTATTATATTTATTATTGATTTTAATAAATTTGATATGTTTTATTGCTGCTCTAACTTTATCTCTCTGCTTTATCGCTTTGCTTTGTTTATTGACCTTAATTAGAATAGAATAGAATTTATTTACTTCATCTTTATTGACCTTAATTTCATTTTAGTTGTTCAAACTTACACGAGCCTTATTTTGTTATTTTGTTTTGACACTCCAACATTATATATATATATCAAATTCATTGTTTTTTATGATTTACAATTGAATAAAGATTAATAATATTGTATACATTCTTTAGATAAATTAAGATAAATACGAAAATTTTATTTTAAATTGTGAAACAATTTGCGCTAAATATAGTAACGTGTATAAATAGTACTCATATACATTCAGCGGAATTTATAAAGCGGGGGTGTTCTGGACACCCCACGCGAGTAATGAAGTGCTATCTATACATAGATGTACGAAAAGAGTGATTTCGCCGAAGTATCCAAAACTTTAGATCCAGAGAGAGAGAGAGAGAGTGAGTGAGAGAGAGAGAGAGA